TAAAATTTCAAGCTGCGTTTAAAATGGAAATTGTTCTTCAATATGAGGTGGTCTTGAATTTCGCAGGAGGAAATTGGAAAGTTTAAGTATTTATAAGATATTTACTGTCGTAAATGTAATAAAGTCGAAATAAGCAGTTCGTTAAGAGTTAAGTAGAATTTGATTTGAATTATAGCTATAATAAAAACTTTTCGCTTCCATCGAGCGAAATCTGTATCTATTATGTAAGTTATTTTAATGAATACATTTATAGTTTTCTTAAAATAAAGAGATTTATTAAATTTACAGAATTTAGGAGTGTATAATACTAGGTATATATGTAGGAAAGTCAGTTTTGAAAAAACATACCCATATTTTCTAACCGAATTAGAAAAAAGTTAAATTTAACTAGTGATTAGGTTTTTTTTTGTTTTACATTTTATAATTTTAGTTGTTTCAGCGGCAATTAAAAGGGAACCCCGCTATTGATTGCAGCGTTTGATTGTATATATATATATATATTTTTTTCGAAGACATGTGAAGTTCGCGAACGCACATTGGGGCAGCACGGCGGACAATTCCTTGCCCTAAAACCCTCTCAGAAATGAGCGGAGGCCTGTGCTGAGTTGTGGGACGTATATAGGCTGTAACTTAACTTTTAATTTCTACATATGTATATATATTTATATATATATATATATATATATACATATGTAGAAGAACTCCAACACACCTTTAGTAAAATTTACGCGAGTAGTGAGTTGAAAGGAAAGATACCTTAATGTGGCTGTGAAAGGATTACAAAAGATAGATTTTCCGAATAGCGAAGGGACTTCTTAAAATGCTGATGTCTATCCTTTAAGCTTAGAATATAAATAAAATAGAGCTGTAAATTAAATGAAATTAGATATTTGTGGATGTTGAGGGTTTTAGCTCTCATCTTTTCTGTCTCATAGGTACCTCAGATATTATGATTATAAGCCTGTGTGTTTTTATATCTATATTCACGTGTAGATATTCTCATGTTTGTATGGCACCTACTTAAGTTTCGCTGCTTAGCTCGAGGTTGATTGGTAAAGAAAGCCTAAAAACATTATGTTCGCCAATTGTGCATTTTAAGTGCAATAAAGATTTTTAAATAAATAAAAAAGAATTAGAACTTAGACTATTGTAAAATAAATGTTATTTTAAAGAAATTTTAAATTTTAAATCTAAATATTATGAATATTATTCTTGATTAACTATTTTTAAATATAAACCGAGTATTCTTACAATTGATTACTCGAAGTATTAGTTGAGGTAAACTCATTTTGTCATAACTTCGAGCAGTCGTAATGAGTTCATATTCAAGAATCTAGTTAAATAACTATTTATTTGAAAAATAATATTTATAATACATTATAAATATTATTTTTGAAATATAATATGTACAATTTAAAGGAAAACTATTTACTGAATCTGAGGTACCGAGTTCCGCTCAAGTAATCAATGTGTGTGAAATACAGAAATTATTAATTTGGATGTAACTGTATCTGCTTCTATAAAACAGTTTTCGACCGACCGTATTTGTTTACAATGAGACTGTAATAAGTAACATATTCGCATAAAATAATTTACAATTTTCTATACTTAGTTAATCGTTTGAAACAATATAATATGATTTAAATTTAAACTTGATATATTACTTTTTAGAATGGAAAGAAAATCCGTTTTTATACAATTATACACGCTTTAAAATGCTACAGATATCTTCAAAACGACGTCCGAGTTTGCTGTGAAGTGCTTTTGACCCACTATGTAGTTAGATCTTTTGTACGACGGCGGAAATTCTTTCAGAATTTCCTAGACGAAGTTTAGTATTCCTGGGCTTAAAGTTGTTTTTCAATTACCTAACTCTTAGTCGTCAAAGTCCAGTACTAATATAAAAATAAAAAAGCAGATCTTGAACGTGTTTTAATTATGTTTGATTTTATTGATAGTTTACTAATTAAATAAAATCAAAAAATTGTATGACGTCATAAAATTTTGTTATTTAGACCAATAATAGGGTTGCTCAAGCTGTCGAGGCTATGTTCAGAGATTTTCAGCATGGTAGACTTTGTTATGATATCGGAGAGTTACCTATATAGCCCAATAGATCAGAAAGCTGATGTGGCAATGGGCCGGCTGTATAGTTTGAAAAGCATTTCAAACTATACAGCAATCGAAACGACAATCGTTGGATAAAAAGGTTCTCGAGTTTCAGCTACGTACCGGTAAGGGAAGTAAGGTACCCCCAACACTAAATGAAGTGAAAACCTGGCTAGAGATGCGGGAAGTCAAAGGGATGAGGCCTATCTATGTTCATTAGTGGATTGTGCGGTGGGCGCAGTATTTTATAATTAGTTGTTATCAGGATCATTTCAATAGAGCTTCATCTTTCGTAAGAGTTTTCCTCCCTTTCTTTAAAATATACTCATATCTAATAACAATATAAGTACATGTTTTTACACCCGCATAGAATTTATTTACAAGAAATATATTTATATAGTTACTAGGTATAAAATTGATGGTCCAATATTTTAAGGATAGAGTAATAAACTTTCTTAAGCTTAATTTTTACTGCGATTTCGTGTAGAACGAATGTATTGAAACAAATCTTCCGGTATTAATCGCGTTGTCTTCAATGTCGCTGTTTAATCGAATGGTCGGCTGGTATCGATTTGACCCGATGCGATACAAGGGCAGGAAATATATGCGAGAGAGACCGAGTTAATAGAGCAATGGAAACGTAATTGAATTCGTGTAACCACTTTCACGGTATTTAAAGACTATTATATCCGGATTTCAAAACTAGGAGTAAGAAATAATACTATATAAAATATTATAATATTAGTGACGTAAAATAAAATGATTAAATGAATCACATCTACTTTACACATAACTTTACCGTGTTATAAATGTTTAAAAAGAACAACATTATTCAGATATGATTTTTTGCGGTAGAAGCCCTATTGTAACATGTTATATATATATATATATATATATATATATATATATATTTTGAATAGAATTTAATGTAGATTTTGTTATTTTTGGAAATAAGCTCGAGAAAATTGCTATAGTTGATCTAATACTGTAACATGTCATGAATTTTTTTGAAAATTGTTATTCTAGACCGGATAATATAATATTTTAATATTTACGTACGTCATAATTTTATTGACACTTAGCTGACCCAGAGCCGTGGTAGCTCATAAACTAAGCGCTCGCTCCCATTGTATAATTATGATCTGTAATTGTGGGCAAATTTAATTATCGAAAATCAACGTCAAGTATAGTTTATTGCTATTATCTGGAAAACTGTGTATGATGTTGAAGGTATTTTATATTTCTTATAATATTAAGTTTTTTCAACGAAAAAATACTAAAGATTTTTAGGATAAATTATAGTCTAGAACACACCTGGATCACTCGGCTATGCCCGACTAGACGGAGTGACAAAAAATTTAAAAATTTTTATTCATATCCAAATAACATGCAAATAACTTTTTAATGGAATAAAGTAATAATTCGATATTTCAGACCACACCGGATCACGCTCTGCGTCCATGTCACTTTACATTACAGATAGACTTTAAACTTTTATATGTATAATGATACAAATATTGCTAAATATATATATATAACACTATTTTAAATGTTATTCCTTTGTAAATTAACGGTGTCTGTTTGTGCCTTGTATATGTAATCACGAAACTGGAACGAAACGAGACTAAATTTAAAGTTGGTAGATAAAATAACGCCCTATCTACGTTGCCCGCTGGCTACGCAACTGCCACAATAATCGTTTTTTAACTGTATTAAGAACCGTTTAATATTCGTATTTTACAATAGCTTTTTCGTTGTTAATAGTTATGTCATTTTTGCAAATTTTTTGAGTGAAGTTACGTTAGATAATATTGAGCCTACTTTTTTATCATAAAATCTTTGAACTTAATTTTTAATGTAGTAATTGATATTAAGACATTTGCATATCTACTCACAAAAAAATTCTCCAGCTCAATCAAACATACTTTGTTTTGGAATTACGAGTATATAAAATTAAAATATTACCGAAAAATCATAAACATTACCAAGTACCATATTGGGGATTAGCTACAGACATTACATATTATAATATGTGCATGAAAATGTAATGATCCTCGATTTCAATCAAAATGCAGAGACGTTGTCACTCGTGAGGACTAAAATGGAATGCGTCGTTTCTTGTAAAAAGGGTCTCCGGTTCTCTACACTCATCATACGGAACACAGCAGCATTAAGCCACTATTTTACGCTGGTATTTGGTGAGAGCGTGGTGCTTCCCCGGTCGAGCCGACCCATTCGTGCTACAACTATACTTCTAATATAACTGCAGCATGGCTCTACCACGTACAAATAAAAAATGTACGCCTAAGGATTTATCCTGCGAGAGAATGATATAAAATACAGTATACAGTGTTCACTATTATCTCGGTTTCAATAAATTAATAATGAAAATAAATCAATAATATTATTTTTTATAATATTTTTTATTAATAAAAAATAAATAAGGTTTCACTTCTACCCCGTGTGAACTGTTTTCCGCAGCTTATATAATTAATTATTTATCACTATTTCTTAATTTTTTTTAAACTGAGTTGAAAAAACGAGGAAGTTCTATAATTGACGCGTATTTTTTTTTCTTTCCATAGTTTCTTTATAACGGTATAGGTGTTAATGAATAAAAATATTTTTTAATATACGTTATAAAAAGTTTTCGCTCCGTGCTTATTAAAAGTCAATTACTCGTATGTACGTGTAATTTTGAAAAATACATATCATTGTGAGTAGAATAATATAAATGTAATTTTTTGAAAGTGTAATGTGAAATCAAACCGATGGTCGAGAAAAGGGATTATGGGAATGGCGTCGAAAAAACGAACGGTTGCGGGGAAGGGAAGGATAATTCATTTCGTTTGTGCGTTTTAGTTAAATTAACGCGTGTGTGTTTTACGCCAATGTTTCGTGGGTGTCATAAAGTTGGGGGATTATGGGCGGTGGTGGGTGTTGTGGTGTTGGCGGCAGCATGGGTTGGTGGCAGCGAGTTCCCCGAGCGGGAATGTTGCGATCCAGTATATCCTCCAAACACGGCTACGACTGCTGCTGCTCCAGTAACTCATCCCGTCAGCAAGGCCGCAGGTAACTTTATTTATTATGTTACACTAGTTTACTAATATAAATGTTAAATGTTTTTTATTACACTACTTACGTTTTATTTCAAACTAATTTTGTGAATTTTATCATGTTTAATTTATTTTATTCAATGTAAATTATTCGTGTATAAGAAATCCCATCAAAAACATAACTTGTAAAAAAAACCAAGTCTTGCAACTCAGTTCTTCTACCGTAAAAAGTTGTGAGATCCATGTAATACCAAGTCGGTTAATTTATTCAGTTCCTACTTAATGGTCCTTCTATTTTAAGTTAAATCAGTATATATTTAAAACATAAAAATCTTTTCTGTTTTAAATATATACATTGACTTGGCAATCGCATTAAGCAATCTAATTTAATATGTATTTCTTGTGAGATTTTCATGCGATGGCCAAGTCAATCTATATATTTAAAACATAAAAGATTTTTAACATTGATATGGTCACTATAAAATGTTGTTAGATTAGCTAATTACATAATAACTTAAAACAGAAGGACCGTTAACTAGGAACTGAATAAATTAACAGACTTGGTATCACATGGATCTCACAACTTTTTACGGTAGAAGAACTGAGTTGCGAGACTTGGTTTTTTTACATGTTATGCTTTTGATGGGATCTTATTTCTTTTTGTAGACAAGATTGTCCTAGTTTTTTTCCTTTCCGGTACCTTCTACTTCCTGAATACCAACAACGCACCTATATACACCTATTATACATATACAAGAATACTGATTCATTAACTGCAAATGTAACTTTGTAATTCTATATATCTATATGGGATTACAAAGTTATGGACCAAAATTAAAATATATTTTAGTTTTTACTTGATTTATACACTAAAATCTAATTGTATTCTAAATTTTTAGCTTCTACGTCTGCTAGAAGTGCCTTAGAGTTTTGTTAATCGGTCAGTCAGTGAGTGACAAAATTAAGAAACTTTGACTAGCTATAATTCTTAAACTACTGGTTCAAATTGAATGAAATTTGAAGTATACCATGTTTATACAATACCTACTCGGTTACTAAGAAAGTAAGACTTCTAGTTTTATCCATTACAAAGTTATAGGGGGTCAAAAATGGCCAGAATTGCTTCGAGAAAAGAATAGTACGGCCGTGTCGCTTTTTTGCTCGACTTGGCGGGGGTATTGCCGTGCCCCCAGATAATTATTATTAACATAATAAATATGACAGTTATGAATAAGAAAATATTAAAAAAATAACTATAGCATCTCTATTGCAATGTAATTGCAATAGAGATGCGAGATGTGGTAATTGTATATATATTGGCTATTCAGTAAAGTATTAATTTCAATATATTTTGTTCACAACATTTTAAATCAATAATAATGTCCTCCAGACTGACTTTTATCACGATGGCAAGTCCCAAAGTACTAGAACTAAGTAAAGTACTAGACTAGCCTTCTGAGCATGGCAGGATTATTGTGCACGAGTGTACGCTCCAGCACGGTTGCATTCTCTATCCCCTCAACTCTCGACCGGAGAGATCAGGCACGAAACCAACTTCACGTACTTTCTGAGGCACGTAGAGGTAAAACACAGCTTCTTCCTACCACCGGACCGCTATTAAGAAATTCGTGACAGAAAAACCCAATAACTATTATGACCCGGGATCGAACCCGGGACCACATGATTAGCAGTCGCGCTTACGAGCAACTAATGAAGCAGTCGATTGAAGCATTTCGATTTCGAGAACGCGCATTGTGTAAACTTTGCATTATGTTTTGATTTAATCATATTGAAGATAGTTTGCCTTTAAGTCGTTCTCAGCGTAAAGGAGGTCCCAGTCTTTATGCAACGCAATACTATTTGCAAAATAATTGGATTATTGAGCGTTCTAATATCTCGACTAGCTCGACTTTAAGGATACGGACCGCGAACTTCAAAAGTTTTAACTTCAAATCCGCCTTTCGACTACGGTTTCAGTCATATCAAAAGCATTTATGGTTTACTTGGGGCTGGTTATTAGTTCATATTAGTAATGCTGATTGAATTGCTCGTATTTAGAAAAATCACTTCGAAGCTATAGCAAAGGCACGCAAGACCTCACGGACTAAAGCTGCTGTTGCTATTACTGTGTGATAGAAATCGCATTAATGAAGATAAAGAACCAGGGTAATCGCCATAGCTTAACGGATCAGTAAGCTGAAGTGGGAATGAGGCGGCTATATACTCCAATAATCGACAATCGATGGGGATACAAGGTTCTCAAACCGAGACGGGTATAAGATTGGGATGCAAAACCATATCTTATAGCTTAGGAGTCCACTAACCCAAGCGGTCTTTAACCTAAAGTATAACATCGGTAGCTAAGGTATTTACACTTTACGTGTAATAATTGTAATCATTACAGCCCTTTACAAGTCAACTGCTCAAATAGTCATCCCCAAAAAATGCCCCGAACACTTTTTTAACATCGATCTTTTTCAATTAATTTTCTCATGTTTCATAAAAAACTGTTTTAAAAAACTCCTACTACGTTAAATTATAGTTATTTTAGTAACAAGAAAAATATTTTACAAAGCGCTAAATATCAAGGTGCCTGCTAGATAAGAAGTCTGTTTGCTAGTCTGCTTTCCGCGCCAAAGTGCCTGTTGACCTATATCTGCAGCAAGTTCTTTTGTACATCGGTGAAACTGCTTTCATTTTAAGACAAATGTATTTATTTCTCATTGGCATAAGGTCGTTATTCAATTGTTGGTAATTCAAAGTGCCAAGATTTAATAAATGAACACAATTTAATAACGATATTTTTATATGAATTAAAAGTGACAAACGTGCTAAAAATCTACTTAGTAGTAAGTGGTTACTGTAGCTTTTAAAGTTTAAAAGTTAAAGTTACAGCCTATATACGTCGCACTACTGAGCACAGGCCTCCTCTGATTTCTGAGAGGGTTTTAGGGCAAGGAAATGCCCACCGCGCTGCTCCAGTGCATGTTGGCGAACTTCTCATGTCTTTGAAATATATTTTTTCTTATTTCTCAGACATGCAAGTTTCCTCACGATGTTTTCTTCATCGCCGAGCACGTAGTATATCAGCACTTAAAATCGAAAATTTTATTAGTGCAGGCGGGGAAACTTACAGCGAGTGCTTAGTCCCTAATGAGAATTAGAATCCAACTAATTCATAAATAAATACAGTAGCGTCAGTTATAAAACGTCTGGTACTTTGATCGTCGGTCCGCCTGCGAATCGCGAAGCACGTTATAAACAAGCACTTAAAATTGCAATTAACAATTTCACTGGTGCCTGTGGGGATCGAACCCTGGTTGCTCGCGTACTGTGAAGTTTACAGCGAACGTTTAGCCTCTGAGCTACCATGGCTCTTAGGCACTGGCAAATTAACGATGTAAGAATATCAGCTATTGCTTTTCCTATGTGTATCATAAGAGGCGACAGCGGTGAACTAAACAGGAAATAGGCAGCAACATTTTCCTGAAAACTGAACCGTGGTTACCATTTTAAATGTCTCCTCAACGTAGCAATCTATGAAGGAGGCCTATTTTCAGGGGTAGACTTTTGAAATACTGTGATTTTTATAGAAATTCGCATGGTAGAGCCACTTTTCATCTATGTTACGGTTGTAGCACAAATGATTTGGTTCGGAAAAGCGCTACACTATTACGATATATTTCGTATGGTGAGTATAGAGAATCCTTTTTTTTGTAGAGAGACCTTTTTCCTGAAAACGAGATATTCCATTTAACTCCTAAGGAACGTCATCGTATCTGCATTTTTAATCTTTAAATTTTGATCAAAGACATTATTATCTATGGGCCAAATTATTTAATTATTTTCAAGTGGGCAGTATACCTGTTTGTCACCCGTATACTTTGAAAAAAGCACCGGCAGACAATAAAGATATCCATTTACCATCAGGTGGACTGTCAGCATGTTACTTCAATTTCATAAAATAATAAAAAACCTATTCAAGAGAGGGAAACTAGTTTCATTTGAGTCGACAAATATATTTTTATATAAAAATGTGAACAAGGTTTTCTAATAATTTTTAGTGTCTTGTCTGCGATGAACTCCGAAACTACTCGTTTAAATTTCTAAATGTGTGTTGCTTGGTCCAACTTAAGAGATAGCATAGTATTTATCCTGATAAGTGACCTTCCATATTCTTTATTGAGAAAATAAAGATATTAATAGTTACTTTGAAACCATCCGCTCAAATTAAATAAAATTATGTGTCTTACCTAGTTTGAAGAGCACCTCCCGCCTTTCCTCAATTGCGTGCACCAATCCCTAATACTTAGCGATTTATATAAACAAATTATATAAGAGTTAGCGGTCAGCCGCCGTAGAGTCAACACCACCTTTTTTTTTGTTTTTTTTTTTTAACATGGGGAAATGCCTACGCATACCCGCCTCGCGGGGGCAAGGACGGGTTATGTCGGACTCGCACCGACTAAAACCCCATGGTGTTCCACCTTCGTCGCATATTGGCAGGGCTACGGGAACGCTTTCGCACACTTCCGCGGCCCTACCAGCGACTGCCGCCCCATGGCAGCACCTCCTCGGGAGAGGAATATTCCTCCCCGTTCTCCTTCCCAAGTAAGGCGCACCAGAACACATGGCACGCCCTCCTCCACGGCCTCCAATTGCATCTGCGCAACAGACGCCCCGCGTCCGATGCGCGAAGGCCATGGGGCCAGGAAAAACGAGCACTTAGAAGTACTAGCCTTCCTGACCCCAGCGGCGGATCTGGTCTATGGCTCCGCCGCCAACCAAGATTCGGCTGCGGAGGATAGGGAGAGCGGCGCCTCGCTATACCGACAATTCTCTCCCCCCGCAGCCCCATCACCACCGCATCAACGGTGCGGCCCCGTTTGAGTCGCGGAGGATAGGGCGAGTGGCGCATCGCCATACCAATACTCCTCTTCCTCCACGACTCCACCTCGGCTGCAGCGGTAGAGGGTGCGGAGTCCCCACTCGCTGCAGTCTACCAGCACACATCCGAAGTGGGCTCCCCAAGCCCACTCGGAGTGGCCATCTCAGGCCGGCCCTTCACCTCGGGCCAGCCACGTGGGTTCCTCTTTGTTCACCGTGGGAGACCAAGCCACGGCTACTAAGCCCCCCGCCACGACAAGGCGGGAACCCGTTCGGGGGGGAGAGTCTACACCACCTGAAGATGCCTCTTGTAGAGGCGAAACACGTGTGGTGGTATTATCGTGTGGTGGTATTATCGTTGATGGTGTGTCTTTCCTGGAATAGTGGTGTTGGGAGTAGTGGTGTTGGGAGTAGTGGTGTTAGGATTAGTGGTGACGCGATTAGTGCACACAATTGAGGGAGGGCGGGAGGTGCTCTTCAAACTAGGTATGACACATCATTTTATTTAATTTGAGCGGATGGTTGCAAAGTAACTATTAATATCTTTATTACAATAGATTTCCGCAAAGTAACGCAGATTCCATCAATTATTGAGAAAATATTTTTAAAGGATAAGGTGTCGTCTGAAAGGGCAGAAAAATTGTGCCTGGTTTACAAAAGTTCCTCTTTACTATCAAATTACGATTATGAAATTATTACTTTAAAAAAAATGAAATTATAAATTTAATTTACCACTTTTTTGAACAATGTGTGCAATGAAATGCACAAGGAATGCCACAAAAGTTCCTTGGGAGAGGTCAGCAGACGACTTGCAAAGTGATATAATGATAAATACTTTGTTCTCGAGATTCAAGTGGGAATTGGTTCGCAGTAAAGTTTTGGCCAACGCAACGGTGTAACAAATCTTCCTATTTTTTAATCACGTAATCCTCACAATCCTACCTCAGTTCAGGAATGACTATACACCCACAGAATATCCGCAGTTAGAGGATATTTTTTAGAGAGTTTAAATACAGAAAGGAATTTGTCTTAAACGTTAAGCTTGGCACGCAAATTACTCGCATCTGCTACTCGATGTGGATTAAGTACAATTCATAAACAAATAAATTTATATATTAATTGTACATTTCGTAAATTTTGTCATGATCAATCCGAGTTGCAACTCAACCTAAGAAAAAAAACCTTGTAAAATGAATTTTGTAAGGTTTTTTTTAATGCTCTTTAGTTTATTTTTGTATGTGTTACTAAGCACGCCGATGAATGTCTTACGTTATGTGCGACGTAGAGTTAAAGAAGTATGAAAGTCTTTGCCGCTATGAGAATGTATTTAATTTTCTTACAAATAGTTTTTTTTAAATAAAATTGAATTGACAAACGAACTTTTCATCACCTCGTGATAAGCGGCTATTGCATTATATATACATCTGTCTATCTTGAAGCTCTTGAAGGTATCAAAAATAGCTATTGATGTGTTGTGACTACGATGGAATACCTCACAGCCTGTAATAATTATACTAGCTGTCTAACCTTTAGACCAGAATACAGCAATGCAGGAATGCTGCTGCTATAGCAGCAGATATAAGGGTAAGGAGCACACCTAGATATGTTTTTTATAGAATAAGTGTGACAAACGAGCACACAGTCCACATGATGGTAAGTGGATGCTGTGGCCCATAGACATCTACATTTATACTCGATTAAGAATAAAAATGCGTTGTCATACCTGAGTACTAGGACGGAATACCTCGTTTCCAGTAAAAAAGGGTCTCTGGATCTCTCCACTCATCATAAGAAACATAGCAGCATTAAGCTACTATTTGACACTGGTATTCTGTGAGAGCGTGATCCTTCCCCGGTCGAGCCGACCCATACTGACAAGGCACATAATGAGCCTACCACCTAGCAATATATAGTAATTATTTGTTTAATCTAAAGGTATCAAGAAATAAAATATTTCAAGAACAGGTGAAATCTTCCAATACCCAGTGGGACAGCTTGGTGGACTAATTACTCAGTAATCCTCCCAGAAATGAGGAGAGGCTCAGAGGTGGAGCGTATAAAGGATCTCACTATTCTCACTTTTCTCTTTATTAATTTATCCTTTGTTGTACACCATACAAAACATGCCCAGAATATTTAAAGGAATATGAATTTGATGGGCGGTGCTATTCTTTATATCGATCCCTACTAGACAACCAATGGATGTACACAACTGCAAGAA